CATTCATTACAGACTCTATTCATTACAAACTCTATTCATTACAGACTCCATTCATTACAGACTCCATTCATTACAGACTGCATTCATTACAGACTGCATTCATTACAGACTGCATTCACTACAGGCTGCATTCATTACAAGGTCTGTTCATTACTGCAGGCTCCATTTATAACGTGAGGCTTCAATCATTAGCACTGGCTCCATTCACAACAAGCTCCATTCATCACAGGCTCTGTGCATCATCACAGGAGCCATTCAACCTTACAGGCTCCATTCCTTACTGCATGCATTGTGTTTCTGTAGAATAGCGGTTTTCACACTCACTTTACATGTGGAGAGAGTTCTGGTTCACAATCAAACCAGAAACATTTACCAGGGCTTTTGTGACACGGTGGTAGTGTCCCTACCTCTGAGCCAAGAGACCTGGCTTCAAGTCCCACCTGCCCCTGAAGTGTGTGCTGTAACATCTTGGAACAGGTTGGTTACAAAACTACCTTTCTTTACTGCATGGCCTATCCATTACTGCACTGTTAATTACAGGATCCATTCGTCACCGTGTGCTCACAGATACTTGCTTGGATCCTGCTCATGTCCCACAGTTCCTTACAGACCATGAACAGTACAATCTGCCTGTCACAAACACAGGACAAAGTCCCTGTTTCTAATTCCTGCAGAGTTTCATTGAACAATGAGCCATGATAACACACTATGCAGTGTTCAGTAAAAAGTTTATCACTGCAACACCAGCACTCAGGGTACGTTGAACAGATTACAAACTGGTTGCGTCAGGAATGAATGTGAAGTGGGCAGCATATAACTGCATGTGGCTGTGTGGAAAGTGTAATTTATAATCAAAGCGTACGAAATGCAATTTGTGAATGGGATTTATGGATTTTTTTTAATGGTGTTTGCAATGTAGTTTGTCATGCGATGTTAATATGATACTGTCACCACACTCATTCCAAAGGCACTGGAAAACAAGTTCAAATCCCACTAAGCTGGTAGAATACAATTCATTCATCTGGAATATCAGAGCTAGGAGTTGGGACATCATGTTGCTGCTGTACAGGACATTAGTTAGACAACTTTTGGAATATTGTGTTCAGTTCTGGTCTCCCTGCTATAGGAAGGATGTTGTTAAAGTTGAAAGGGTTCAGAAAAGATTTACAAGAATAATGCCAGGGTTGGAGGGTTTGAGATATAGGGAAAGGTTGAATCGGCTGGGGCTATTTTCCCTGGAGTGTCGGAGGCTGAGGGGTGACCTTATGGAGGTTTATAAAATCATGAGGGGCATAGATAGGGTGAATAGGCAAGGTCTACTCCCCAGGGTAGGGGAGTCCAAAACTAGAGGGTATAGGTTTAAGGTGAGAGGGGAAAGATTTAAATGGGACTTAACGGGCAACTTTTTCATGTAGAGGGTGGTGCGTGTATGGAATGAGAAAGTGGTGGAGGCTGGTACAATTACAACATTTAAAAGGCATCTGGATGGGTATATGAATAGGACGGGTTTAGAGCGATATGGGCCAAATGCTAGCAAATGGAACGAGATTAATTTGGGATAGCTGGTTGGCATGGACGTGTTGGGCCGAAGGGTCTGTTTCTGTGCTGTACAGCTCTATGACTTTATGATGGTAGTGACACCGTCATTGATTTTAAGAAGCAGTCTGTTTCATTAATGTCCTTCTGGGGAGGAAACTAACTGTTGCAGCCAGTCTGGTCTATATGTGACTCCAGGTTCACAACAACATAATTAACTGCCCAGTGCCGTGTCCAGGCAAACCACTCAGTTCAAGGACAATCAAGGATGGAGAGATTAAATCCATTTCCAAGAAAATAAATGAAGAAAGAACGCATCGAGTGGGTGGGACACCGCTATAACACAGCCTGAGAGGGTCCAATGTGGGATGCAGGTGGGAACTTTAATGCTCCGGCCAAGAGATAATTCCACCAGAGTTGGAGACCACAGATCTTTTATTTTGTTCTTCAGATGTTGGAATCACTAATAAGGACAGCATTTCTTGCTCTTCCCTAATTTCCCCTCTCCTCAGCCACATGACAAAGGGGCAGCAGGTACATGAAGGCCAGACCGGGTAAAGGAGAGCAGATTTCCTGATGATCGTGAACAAGGTGGGTATTTGAACAACTATTCGTAACAGATACCACCATGACAGAAATCATCCTCACAAACCCACAACGTGATAAATTATACTGACACCATGTCAGTGAGCATCGAACACACAAACACTGAGGATTACTTGCTCAATAACAATGCAACGCGGCTACCATCTGACCCAGTGTCTGCTCAGCCTCACCTTGCCCACGCACCCTGACAGTGTCTGACCCTGACAGTGTCTGCCCTGACCGTGCCCACTCACCCTGACAGTGTCTGCCCTGACCGTGCC